ATATATATATATATATATATATATATATATATATATATATATATATGAATAAGTATATAAATACACACACACACACAAACAAACACACACACACACACACACACACACACACACACACACACACACACACACACACACACACACACACACACACACATATATATGTATGTATATGTATGCATATACAAGAATGAAAATGAAAACAGAAAATGCATACATTACTCAAGAGTTTCTCATTAGATATGGTAAAAATGAAGGAAAATTGGTTGAATTCTAGATGTGCTTACTCACACACACTTACACACACACACAAATACATACAAACACACACACACACACACACACACACACACACACACACACACACACACACACACACACACACACACACACACACACACACACACACACACACACACCATGAGCTCCCCATTCATACTCATACTAATTTACAACAGTAAATGGTGTTCTTTCTCCAGTATAATACTCCAGTTTGGGTTCACAGATTCTAACTTCCATTAAGTAGGAAATCTATCTTATCAAAATTTTAACTATTTTAATAAATTTAAGTAGTAAAATACTTTGTGTATCTAGTAAGATACTCTAATATTCATTCACTGTTGTCATAGTTCCACTGGATTATAGAAAATTCATCTTGTTAAAGTGCAAGAGATAGCTTTAAGTATCAATTTAACTATTTATCACAAAGAATATCACAAATTCAATATGTTTACAAAATATTTTTATTACAATTTCTACTGAATACTCTATAACAAAATCATCAAACATCTACATAGTTAGAAAGTTGATAAAACAAAAAGCATTCTTTACCACTTCACAGTGCAGTATACCGAGTGTCTTCCAAACCGTACTTAGGCCTTGTTTTGAATTTGCTTTATTGAAAAACAATAAAAGTATTACAGACAAAAATATGTTTGTGTTGTAATCAAAGGTTCCAATTATACAATGATTTGAGCTGAAGAAATTGACCTCTTCGATATGTCTAAATTTAGAAAATTATGAAAATCTAATGTTATAATAATTTCCCTTCATTAGGATAAAGACTGACTTAATGACACTTGATATGCAATAAAAGAAAGTATCAATAAATTAGGAACTGTTTCTGATAAGCTTTTATTATATCTATGAAATAAAATTGTTCTAATACTGTAACCAATATGATACATAATTTCCACTCCTATTTACTCAAGTACTGTTTTTTCAAACCAAGAGAAGTTATATATAGCTGTCACTAAGCACTTGTATTAAAAAAATTGTTCAGCAATTCTTTCTGTGATACATTTTAAAACTAGCATTCTAGTGAATCAGATGCAAACACCCTGATAAATTAGCATGATCAACTGTACACTGTAGGACTAGTCAGAGACAAATTGAATATTCTTATTTCTTTCTTCCACTCAAAAATTCCCTAGACTGTGAAAGTCAAAAGAATCAGCTATAGCTTGAGCAGTTACTGCATATGGAAGATGCAATTAGAAACCAGAAATGTTGACTTCTTTAATTTCACTAATTTTTTGTTTAATGTGGCAGGTACAGTTTTGCTATACAATATGACTTATTTAAAGTAAAATATTACAACTGCATATCACTGTTAACTACACATAAAGCAACTATAAAACAAAACCTGAAAAGATAAGAGATAGAGAACTGATAAAGAGGTAATGCCAATTAAAGTTTTCTGGACATGGCCACAGAAATACTCATGGACCATCCAGTCTAACACTTTAAATGTTTTCCCCTTTAACAGACTCAAGATATATTTACTTTGTGAAATTCACAACAGTCTGTTTGTCCAGTCAAATAAATACACACATATCATTCTGATTCATATGTACCCATACCAGCTGTTTGAATACCTATCAGTTTATGGTTCATTCTCTTTAACAGTGCATTATGATATCTAAGAAATTACATGTCAGAAACCTCTACATGCTGAACAGAATATACAATAATGAGCTATACACTCTCAAACAAAGAATGTTGTAAACTATTGTAAAAAATATACACACATAAACATACTTCTACTTTCAAGTATATTCTTAAGTATATGTCAATTTTTAGGTTATATGTTTTTGTTTAGATTATATGGATATGTACAGTATATTTATATGTAAACACAGACAGGCTTAGACAGACATCTAAAAACACAAATACTTCCCTTGCATATCTTCACACAATCAAACCCAACCAGAGATACATGCCCGTGCCTCACATTCATGCACACGCACGCACGCACGCACGCACACACACATATATATGCTGCATCCATGCATGCATGTATGCTCCCACATCCACACCCACACCAACATGCACACACACACACACACACTTCATGAGGTTATGAATGAAAATTGGAACATAACAATTAAATGATATCTTTAAGAGTTCTGACTAATACTGGCTGAAATTCATTAGGCTGTGAAATAACTCATGTGCCTTTTCTCATTTCAAACTGAATATATCTATAACATCTATAACATATAATTATGCACTGAAATACAATTAATATAATTTCACACATGTTTATGCAATATCAGTAACAAAAGTGACTAACAGATTAGTGATATTCTCAGTCATTAACTTAAAGAGCTTTATGAAGGGGTGAAAAAAAGGATGGTTAAAATTTCTTTCATAAAAATCCTAAATCACAGTCTGCCTCTGAAAACAATCTGCAACTTAGGTTTTCCCAACATGAAAAATATTTTATATGAGAGCATATCCTTCTCATACTCACAAATATTTTAGTACTGTCCACCTAACTGACAAACAAACAGACAAACAAACAAAGTGGAAAAGGAAACTGACCTTCATCACCATATCAGTCTATCTGTTTCAATCTCCTTTGCATATCACAGTATAATTCTCAAAATAATAATTCTACAGTTTTAGTTTCATAAGAAGTCTGTTATATCAAAAACATATGCAAAGGTTTTATTAATCAATTCTACTTGATGTTAAATAAAATAAACAAAAGTATCTAATATCATAAAATTTCTTTATGAAAACTGGAAGATTTTATCAGTTGATGGATAAAAAATAAAGGGTTATTGTCCTACATTATAGTAGCATCAGTGATAACAGGTATTTCACTTAAAAGAAAAGGGTTTATACTTATCATAAAATCATTATCCACTAGTCTTGGCACTGAGTATAATCTATATCACACGTCAAATGACCATAATATTGTGACTCAACCAGTAGCACAGACATTTGCACACAGTAAAAGAAAAAAAATTTGACTTGTATCTTGCTGTGGTAACCATGGCCAACAAAGGCTGTAAGTTCTACCATACAGGAATAATGGCATAAGAGCATAAACTGCCTGGCTATTACAAGCTAGCTAATAATCCTTTCCTTGTAACCATCTATCTAAGCACAACTCCTTTTCCATTTCTGGCTTGTTGCTCATTCTATAAGCAATGTTTACTCCAATCATGGGAAACACTGTCTCAACTTACCTATATGCAATATACTAGAAATATAATTTATACATTTTCCTTTTTAATATATATTACAACATAAACTTTACCAATCTTCTATTAAATTGCCAGTTAATATCATTATAAAATTCTCTTCAATTATACAAAAAAGTATCGCTCATACCTTGTTTCACATCATCTTATTAAAAAATACAATTCCCATGCCTCTACTTAAAATGTCATTAACACTTTCAGATTTCGTTCCCACAGGGAAAAGAGAACTTGGGTATACTGAGAACTCTTGATAACCGAGGTGAAAGATTAGATAGCTATTCTGACTAAAGTTTCATATGAACATTCAATGAAAATATTCATATTCAGACTTTCACCTGTAGTTCATACTTCTGTCACAGACATGACTACATAAAGTACAACCAAGTGTTATGATAAATGCCCTGATTATATTGTAACACTGAAATGAAAAGACGTGTTCCTCATACTTGAAGTGTAACTGATAATGAAACTAACTTACTAATAAGGTATAACTCAGATTAAAAATGCTTTGGTTTCACTGCATCACAATACAACATTCAGAAAACAATCAACATGCTTCTCAAAGTGAAAAAACAATCATATTATATGTAAACTTTCAAGAGGTACACTATTATGCCTTGAGTGGAGTCCCTCTGAAAGCCCAACCCAAACACGCTCATCCTTTTCTCCAAAATTGATCGCTGCCAGTTGTTCAGAACCCACAGCAATGTCACATCTTAAGCACAAGATGATCTTTCCATGCTGAGGTTGTGGTCCTGTAACTGCATCACAGGTATCATTTACATACCTCTACCGAAGGTGTCTTGGGGAAGCTGCCATATTTCCCTCCACTTGCTGGAAAGTCATAAATGAATGTGAATAGAAGTGCCCTTGAGCATATGCAATAGTGCTTAATTGTTATAAAGATCTGAACACAACAATGTAAATATCGAAACAACTAACAAAATATCTTCTTTTATGTTTATGTTATGAGTTACAATAACTGATCAATTTCCCTAATTTTGCCATCTATAATAATACCCAGGCTTCAAAATCTTGTCACATATTCACATATTCCATTAAAGCATTAGAGAGTATAGATATACTATATATAGTATAATCAGCAGACTATACTATTAATCATTTGTTATTAGTTAGAAAACAAAATTGAATAATATTTCTATGCCTTTACTGACATGCCCATCTAATACCTATATACCCATATTCTCAATCCATTTTTATTCTAGTGGCCTTTTGATCAGTGTCTGATAATGTTACTAGAATTTTTGCAATTACAAAATAAATAGAATATTTCCAGGCTGAAGAAGTGTTATAACAAATATGTATGCTTAGTCTGATATCTATAAAATTACTAATGAGACCAAAACTATTATAATTGAAACAAATTTAAAATGCTGATTATTTTGGCAGGTATACTTCATTATAACACAAGCTATAAAACAGAACAATCTCCATTAAAGCTGTTTGATAGCAGACATGACACATCAAAACCACCAAAAGCAGCCGGCATTTAACATCGGCGCCTGACCTGCAATTGCCTGTCATCATCATCGTCTTCAATGAGAGGATCAGCTGATATAAGGAGCTGTTCCCTCCCTGTGCTGGGGAGGAGGCTTCTCCCTCCACTGCGCTTACGTCGTGAAAAGACCTTAGCAATCTGTGCAAATTTTTTCCTTGAGGCTGGAAAAAAGAAAAGGCCATAAGCAAAGACCAGGAATTCCCCTGAGGCACTGAGTGCTCATTTACATGTATGTTCCGGTATATGAGCAATGTAGTTTCCTTTAACATGGCAGTATTTAGGTAAAACAATTTTCGTGTACATGCACTGTAGTAATACTCAACTGTGTCTATATCTCATCATACCTAATCAATAAAGCAAAAATAGCGTGTGTTTAGGACGGAATCCCCTAAGATGGACACTGCACATGTCCTAAGCTCACTCACCTTTACCCATTGTGGCAATTCTCTCTCTGAGCGTAGCATCATCAAGGTGTGCTAACTGCCCCTTGACCTCTGTTCCATCCACTTCCTCATCGTCCGCTGCTTCCGACTGATAATCTGCGGGCAAACGAGTAAGACGTCACTTCAAAACAGTTAGACCCGATCCCCTCCAGTCCATGTTTTTCCCCCCGATTCGCAAGCAAACCAAAGACACTATCCTTACTGACCTTCTTGCAGCGCCGTCATGAATTCCCGGTTGGTCCTTAACTCGTTGATGAACTCGTCATTCTGGAGGAAGAGGGCGATACGCTCGTCCTTGAGATACTGAGCCAGCTCCGCGTCGCTCTCGCCCACCGCCTCCCGGGCCAGCGCGTTCTCGTTCAGGCGCTGACTCAGCCGCTGCGGCGACAGCACACCGACGCCCTGCGGAATGGAGGCCGTCATTCGGGCACCGGCGGGGGCTGTGTGAACTGTTGTGCGCTTGTCCCTGCGCGTGTGTGCATGAGCGGCAGCGTGTGTGCAAGGTCTATGTAAGTACTTATATAGACGTGTGTGTGTGTGTGTGTGTGTGTGTGTGTGTGTGTGTGTGTGTGTGTGTGTGTGTGTGTGTGTGTGTGTGTGTGTGTGTGTGTGTGTGTGTGTGTGTGTGTGTGTGTGTGTGTGTGTGTGTGTGTGTGTGTGTGTGTGTGTGTGCATGGACACAAAAACCTTTGTATAGTCATTGCATCATCTACAAGCTGTATATGATAGAAAAATTAGTCATTAAAAACGAAACTTATTCACCCATAGTGACGGCAACTTGATTTTATAAAGTAACATGTGACGTCCAAGAATTCAGAGGAAGTCTACCCGTAACTGAGCATTTTCCAGCAATGCTTCATTTAACAATACATTTATCCATTAATTTCAATTATCTATACATACTATAAAGGCAAAAAAAAAAAAAATGTGAACAATACCATCATAACACTGTTTTTTCTCTTTGTACTGCGGTTCAGAAGGTAACAAAGACACTTTGAACGTTCACCCAGGCACTGGTGTCGGTGAAAGTGCCGCTAAAAGGCAGATAGAGAATCACCTGATCCGAGTTGTAGGTGAGCCTACACTCCTCGTCCTCGCTGTCGGACACATAGGTAGTGGGCTTGTAGGGATGGTGCCCCAGGTGGTCCAGAGGATCGCTGTGACAATCCTGCTGATAATTGGCCCTTATCACCGACTTCTGGCGCTTGATCCAGCGCTTCCTGGCTCTGGCCGCGTGAGCCTTGTCGATGCGGTAACGAAACCTCGCCTTGGCCTGCACCACCCACGACCGCAGCCACACGCCCACTGTTTCCAGGCACATGCTCTCCCGCTGTCCCTGCGACTAGGGCTGCGAGCTAAACCTGCGCTGTGTTCTGAGGCTGCGTGTGCGCGACGGTGAGCTGCAGGTTCGTCTACGCTCTTTCGAGTGAGCGGTCTGCGCTGTGGACTAGTTCTGACGTCACTCGCACGTTGGAGGAGCACGACAGGCTACCCCGATGCTTTCAGCACAGTCGTTGCCGAACGTTTTTCAATGCTAATTGTCCAATTTTTCCTGTTCTTTAAACAGTCTGAAGATATTATCTGTGTTCTGTTCTGAAAAATGGATTTAAAACGATATATCACTAGTGTGTGTGCATGGACACAAAAACCTTTGTATAGTCATTGCATCATCTACAAGCTGTATATGATAGAAAAATTAGTCATTAAAACGAAACTTATTCACCCATAGTGACGGCAACTTGATTTTATAAAGTAACATGTGACGTCCAAGAATTCAGAGGAAGTCTACCCGTAACTGAGCATTTTCCAGCAATGCTTCATTTAACAATACATTTATCCATTAATTTCAATTATCTATACATACTATAAAGGCAAAAAAAAAAAAAAGTGAACAATACCATCATAACACTGTTTTTTCTCTTTGTACTGCGGTTCAGAAGGTAACAAAGACACTTTGAACGTTCACCCAGGCACTGGTGTCGGTGAAAGTGCCGCTAAAAGGCAGATAGAGAATCACCTGATCCGAGTTGTAGGTGAGCCTACACTCCTCGTCCTCGCTGTCGGACACATAGGTAGTGGGCTTGTAGGGATGGTGCCCCAGGTGGTCCAGAGGATCGCTGTGACAATCCTGCTGATAATTGGCCCTTATCACCGACTTCTGGCGCTTGATCCAGCGCTTCCTGGCTCTGGCCGCGTGAGCCTTGTCGATGCGGTAACGAAACCTCGCCTTGGCCTGCACCACCCACGACCGCAGCCACACGCCCACTGTTTCCAGGCACATGCTCTCCCGCTGTCCCTGCGACTAGGGCTGCGAGCTAAACCTGCGCTGTGTTCTGAGGCTGCGTGTGCGCGACGGTGAGCTGCAGGTTCGTCTACGCTCTTTCGAGTGAGCGGTCTGCGCTGTGGACTAGTTCTGACGTCACTCGCACGTTGGAGGAGCACGACAGGCTACCCCGATGCTTTCAGCACAGTCGTTGCCGAACGTTTTTCAATGCTAATTGTCCAATTTTTCCTGTTCTTTAAACAGTCTGAAGATATTATCTGTGTTCTGTTCTGAAAAATGGATTTAAAACGATATATCACTAAGCAGAGATGTCACATAAACAATATAAAAAACACTTCCCAACAGACTTCCAACGTAAAACAGAAGGTAAATATTCCCGATTTCAAGGGACTTCTATCAAGGAATTCCGCTGGCACCAGGCACTGGAAGCCCTCGGCGCTATTTCTGCCTCTTCTGCTGCACTAAAGCTGATAGGATCATGCTCTGCCGTGTGTGTGTGTGTGTGTGTGTGTGTGTGTGTGTGTGTGTGTGTGTGTGTGTGTGTGTGTGTGTGTGTGTGTGTGTGTGTGTGTGTGTGTGTGTGTACGGAAGAAGAGACATGAACGATTTTTTCAATTTCATCTAAATATAAAGTAAACAAATAATATCGTTTTTAACTAATCCTACAAAAGAAAAAAAGGTACATCTGCAGACTAAAAAAATCTCAATTTAGCGCAAAAAAACGAGAAAACTTATTCCATATGGCAAAATATTGTTATGGTTCTTGACATGACGATTACGATAGTATCAGCCGTAATAAATGGTAATGAAAGTTGTAAAACCGTGAGGATAACCTCAACTTCAGTCAAAGGCAAATTTTGAACAATGATAAATCCAAGAAAAAATCGGCGGCACCTCTTCGCAAACGCCGGGATGGTCGAGAATCCCCTTCGACACTTCATCGGATCTCGCCGACCACTTCACCCACTTCAATAAGGTCGTCTGGAAAATTCCGCGCCGCCCTGGATGCAGCCGCAGCACCTCTGTGGCTCGGATAAATTCCAGGCTTCTCCGAATAAAAGCCAATCTCGAAAATGAAATCCGAGAGACCCATACGTGAGCGGATTGGACTTCTGCGGGAAGGCGTGGACTCCTCCTGGCGGGTCCGTGCAGGAGGCTGCGCTGAACTCCTCTGTTTTATCAGAAAGGTTTGCGTGACTATGTGGCTGTAAGGACGTAAACAACTGTACAAACATGGTCGCTTAAAGATATGATGATATTGACAATATTCTGAGGTGGGTAAGCGGTATTCTGAAGCTTCGGCGATGAGATATCTGTAGTGGTTTGAAGAGTAATACCAATGGAGTTATATTATCTAATGTACTGTCGGTAGCAGTACTGTCGGGAGGCGTTTTTCTCGGCCCAATCGATGTGATTATCATTTAAGGAAGTTCTCATTTATATCAGTTAATACATTTCGTTTTCTTTTCTTTTCTTTTCTCATATCTTATAGTGTAGTTGCAATATAAGGGCCGCTCCCATGCTTTCCGAGGGGAAAATTATCAATTACACTACACTAAACTGACAACACAGTGACGCTTTATTCAACAACGATACTTGAAAATTGTTATCCAGTCCGCTTATAGCTACCGCTTGGAAAGCGGCTTAAAAACTACCGACATCTTTACCGGTTCTGTTTCAAAAGCATCAGCATCAATAGTTCCAGGAGTGGTACTTACGGCGATGTTGCCAGCGATGTTGCCGGTGTTTGATAATAATCGTAACCAATAATGAAAGATGACAACAGTGGTTTACAATATTGGCAGAAATTTCATCACATTCTTTCGCCTGGATATTCGTGTATTCAACAGCCATTGACAGTCAACAGTAACAGATCTAGCAATCTATCAGCTGTCCGTTCACAAAAGCATCACATAATCGTAGTGCTCTGAACAGGATTTGAGTCTTCATCCCTCCCTTTTCATCCCCCTTTCACCTCCTCCCGCATCCTCTCCTTCCCATCCCACTGCAACACCTCCGCCAGCAGCAGCAGAAGCAGAAGCCGGGCATACCAGAATAAAATCAATGGCGGTGTCGGGCACGAGTGCAGGCGGCCGCGAAGAGCGACGCCAAAACTGATAGGATATTTTCAGAGGTTCCTTTCCAAAGCAGGAGGGCTTACACATTCCCAATTTAATTAGTATAATTTTTCTGATTTCAGGGAGTGCTCACAGTGTTTCTATGGTTACCACGAATCATGACGCAAAGGTCTAGAGCACCTCACCACAATACGGCCTGGAGACTCGGGCACGAGTACTATACTAGCCTAACGTCGCAATCTCGTACGAACTGCCATGGAGCAGACAGACATTAAGTACTTCCATTTAGGGTGCACCAGGCGTCATTATCAATATCTGGCACCTCATGCCCCGGCGCACAGGGAAGAGCAGCGGGTATACTCCACAATCTATTTGTTATGGGTCACGTGTAACCTCCCCCCACCCCGAGCCGCCTGACCGGCCACCACTTGAGATAACCGCCTCATTCCTGATAACCAACGGGCAGTAGCAAGGAACTCCCTCGTTAGGCAGAAACGCTGCGATGGACGAATTTTAACATTTACAATTCAACCAGGATGATAGCAAGGACTAATGAGTCTCGGCTAAACAGTACGAATATGAATTTTTTCACTTCTACATGGACTGGATACTAAAACAACTCCAGCACTGCGCAATATCTGTTAACTACTTGAAGGTCTGCAAATTTACCACTGTCTCAAATAAATACATGTAAAAATATACATCATAAGAAATAAAGAAAAACAACATGACCGCCATATTTCTAAAATCAAACCACACTGTCCGCACTGACACACCCGCGCCGCTAACTTTAGACGATTCTTTTCTTGGGTATTATAGTAAGTCCGACTATTTTTTTTCACGATATCCATAATGCCCTTTTGAACTTTCAAAAGAATAACGCCCAAATTATAAGGAAGAGCAAAACAGATCATAACAATTCTGGTTTAACTTGCGTCTGTATCTGTGATGAAAAAATGTCTTCTGGTGAATCCGAATGGATACAATAACCACATAACTCCTTGTGTCTTCTGATAAACTATATTACATTACAATCAGCCATGAAATGTTTAAGGGTTTCCTGTTTTAATCTATTGATCGTACCATCAAGGAAGGCAATAAATCTGAGTTCCAATCCTGTCTTCGCAGTTATCACTGTCTAGTTTGTGTCTCGTGGGAACCATGCAAGGGTACTGTTACAGGGCAGATACGTCAGTTTAGTCCTCGATCACCATCTTGCATGACTGTCCTGGAGCGGGAAAAGTGTAATATGTTTGCCGGTCGTAAAATTACATTACAAGCATATTTTCTGATACACCAGATAACAGTTCCCCAGATCTTATGTAAGGGAAGGTGGCCCGAAAGACTGCATCATTTGTAACCGACTGCAAAATCTACGTTTATCGACATTGCAGGAGGGCCTGTATCTAAGCTTAAGTCATCACAATGTTCTGTTTGCATTTGCAATTCGTTGATGTTTTTTCCAGCGAAAACTGGCGATAGTGCTTTATACAAAATCTTTCAAGTCTAAAAAAATATAAGATCAGTTCAATTTTCCGTTCTGCTAATGTGTGATATCATAGCAAGAACTAATCATTGCTCTGGTTTGCTTTATCACATTTAGTCTGATAAGATTTGGTTATATTTGCAGCACCTTTATGAAACGTGGATGTCAATGTCCGCAGAGTTTTTCATTCGTAAGAAGGATTCGTCGCGTTAGTCTGCACTTCAACTTATCATTTAAGTTCGATAAGGAAATCTGGGCCATCGTTAATAAGTCTGTACCCTCGCTGCGTGTCCGCATACCCTGGATTTCCTCACTCCAGTCTCTTATTCTATCTCGACTCCTCTGCCTCATCTACGTCTCCTCCTCCCTATTCAGATCGGACGAGAAACCGACGCATCCCATATCGTAAATTTGCGTTCATACTCTAAATGGGGAGGAAGTAACAAACTACAGCATCATTTTCGCCGCCCTTTATACGCGGACAAAGGAACAAAAATTTCTTTGAGATACGTGTTCGCGCCCTTTCGATTTGTGGTGCAATATGGAAGGATAACGGCTATGATAAACGGGTACTTGATGGCGGGAAAATCATAAAAAAAAAAATTATCTTGTAATACTTTATAGGCTATTCCCGAACGAAAATAAATTGTTCACGTTGTTGCTAGGAACATTTTTTGCACCCAAAAATGGTGTAAAAGACGAAGGACTGAGATTAACAATTTAATGTGCATTACCATCCTTACAATAATTAAAATAATTATAATTCCGCTTTATGACTATATTCCGGATTGTACTTATGATATTTTTTCAACACTTTTCTTATCAAAAGATGATGATGCAGAAGTAAACGGGACCGTTGGTCTGATTCTGGTACTAGGTAACTATCAGGCAAGTTATACCAGAAAAGGAAAGGAGATAACGCAACCTACCTAATTACCAGAAGTGATTCACAGCAGATACAAGTCGCATGAATGTAACGTTTCTTTGTATTTTTTATACAAGGCGTGCAATTAATCTGTACAGGTCATATATACACAAAGGTAAATAAAAAAGCCCAATTTTCTCTGGATGCTACTGGTGAATACAGCAAACGCAGCTTTAATGGAACTGTTCGGTTTGTTGGGTAATGAATTTGTCAGTGAAGTGCCTAATTTCTTCCTTCTATGTTTGCTCATGTCACCTCTTTTCTCACTTTTCCCCCCTCCCCCCCTCTACCTCTCTCTTGCCTCTCACACACACAAATAAATGTGCAATTTAATTACAGAATATAATATATTCATCTCACCTATCTTTAAAAAAAATGCTATGATTTTTCCCTGTTCTTCAAACAAACATTTCCACCCGGGCTATAGGTGCGCTCCGGCCAGCGCCCAGACCAGAGGACATGGCGGGCCCGAGGCTATGCAGGTGTACGAGTTTCCACGCGTGTGTGACGGTGGCGGACGGACGTAGGCGCGGGCGGGCGGACCAGGGCGGCAAAATCGTCCCTGAATGAAACGGAGAGTGAAGACGCTGCTTTAAGGAGGAAGGCTGTCGCAGAGTAAATAAACAAGACTGGTGCCTATGTTACGATCATGAACTAATTAAGGTACCCTACATGTACGTGTGTGTGTGCGTGTGTGTGTGTGTGTGTGTGTGTGTGTGTGTGTGTGTGTGTGTGTGTGTGTGTGTGTGTGTGTGTGTGTGTGTGTGTGTGTGTGTGTGTGTGTGTGTGTGTGCTACATAATATATACTAGAAAAAAAAAACATTACTGTGAAAAGTCCCGATCCAGCACAAGCACCAACGTCACCAACATTTCTCTAAAATGCAAAAAACTGGACAGTCGTGTTTGTCCCTATAACGGGGTCGAAATCCCAGTCGCAGCAGCAGTAGCAGAGTCTGTTTTCTTGGACTCGCTGATCAACAATTCACGAACACGAAAGGGACGTTTCTCGGCTAGCTTTTGAGCTGAAGACCAAGTTAAGGCCGTTTCGTATGAAAGAAGGAAAATGTCAGTTCGCGTTAATAATCCTTCCCCCGTCATTACCTGACAGTAGAGCGGAGTAATGGTAATGAAGTGACCGTCCATGCCCGCATAGAGAAAATTATCCTGGTCCGCTTTCTCGTTTCGGTCTTGTCGACGAGGTCACTGGAACGGCCGAAATCAGACGAATGGTGACTAGGCTCACTTTCAGAGAATATTCAATATGGAATGGTTCAATGGGTTGTATATTTTCTTGCATATATCTACCCCCACCCCCAATACTGCCCTGGCCCAAGCGCTGCGGACGATGATTCACATAAATATATGCGCGTTTGAAGGTAAATAACAGATTTCACAACCACTTTTCTAACAACCGCGAATCACCAGAGAGGAAAGAGCCGGATGTTGTCCCACTGTCGATGGCGTGAGGCCGGAAGCGTGAACGGTGTCCGGCCAGGGAACGCCCTCCACGCCAACCCATTACACGCGTTGTATCTATTTTGCTATGTGATCGCTACTCAAACACTCGCAAAAGGGGCTCTATACCTCCAGCACGGCTCAGCACGGTCTGTGTGCCCATACTTTAGCAGGGTCTGCTGGAATGTCTAGATGACTACGGCATCCAGATCTTGGTTAGCCCTACCATTTCAAAGTTCTTCCATCGCTTCCCCATCTTCCCTTTTCTTCCTCCCCATCATCTACTTCAACGACGTTTTTTTTATGGGATGTTCCTGATGACACGGTAGCTTGTCGCTAGGGATCCCTTGCGAATCTCCTTAAGACCGGTTATAATTGGTAAGACTGGTTCATTAGGATTCGCGAGAGTACGTCAGACGGCACAGGTGCTGATGGCCTCCTTCACCAGAGAGAGAAAATTTCCCAATCGAGATAATGGAAGGGGGAGATGCATTACAATTTACATAGCATTTACATTACATTATCATGAGAGCCAGCCAATCGAATACCTGCTTAGCATGGAATCCTGATCCACCTGATTTTTTGCAGGAGTCTGAAGCCTCTGACATCTAGACTAATTTTCGGCGGTCGATAATGCTTCTCGAGGGCGGCGGAGGCAGGGCTCCGAGATTACATAAACGATGAATCATGTATATTTTCACAACTTCGCCCTCGCATCCAGTTATATGAGCACCTTGGACGCCTCTCTGGGCTCTTATGTTCACTTCGATAGCGATATATTTTGCTCCAAATTACGAAAGCGTTATACAGACCGTGCATTTGGAGCACTGTCTTCGGGGATACAGGCAGCAGAGGAAGAAGCAGCGAGGGGATATTATGCCTTAAGAAACGCATTTCAAAACTGACAATCATAATTCCTTCGTCTGCCGCGCTGCTCCACACGCTTCTTTCCCCGACTCTTTATCTTTTGGGATTCCCGAGAGCATGCAGCCAGGAAAAGTCTGCCTTGCTCTTTCGTCAGCACAAAATTCTTTTCATGAACGGGGCCTTGCTGAATCGGATCTTTGGTCTGTAAACGAATTATTCTCACCAGATTGTACTGAACGCAGCAGATGTAGCGTGCTTTAATGTCAAGGTGATTCCTTTCAATTTTTATGATTTAGCCGTCTGACCTCTGCCGGTGGTATACAAGGTGTGTGTGTGTGTGTGTGTGTGTGTGTGTGTGTGTGTGTGTGTGTGTGTGTGTGTGTGTGTGTGTGTGTGTGTGTGTGTGTGTGTGTGCACGTACGTATGTGTGTCCGTGCGTGTGTGTAAG